ATTATGAAATACGTTAAGATGCGAATTGTAATTGCAAAATGAGTACGTGTACACGTACCTGGCGGCGATCGTGCGTCTGGTAAATCTGGACGGAGACGGAATTTCGATCCGCAACTTCGGGCATCGTGTACGCTTGCGGGCTGCCGAAACGACAAATTTGCGCGACACGTGACGAGTATCCGACACTCGCGATAATTCTTTGACCGCGAGATTATTCCGAACGGTAACGAGCGGCGGAAAAATACGCGGAGCGTGTTTGAACTCGGCTCGGCGATCTCGCCGTGAACGCGCGCGCTCCGTCGCTCCGTGAACGTAGCCGCGGTTGCGAATCTATCGAGGAGCGTTATTGCGATTCTCGAAGCGCCGACGGTATCGATGTAGCGCCAATTCGCGAGGTAGCTTTGAACGTAGAAACAACGTTCGAAGTGTTTGAATAAATACTATTAAATTTAAAGGAATAAATATTATTTATAAAACGCTCCAACCGCTTCGTGCTATAATCAAAATAAATTTCTAGAGGCTCGGGAACTTTTTTATTCTGCGGCCAATCAATACGCTTGAAAAGTTCGTCGTCATGCCCTAGAGTTTAACCTACAATGTGGTTTTCGCAACGAGAAACATTCTGTTACATACAGGCAGAGAGAAACCTGAGAGCGGCCACGCCGGCGTTTTACTTTATACTGATGGGAGCTTTCCAGCAAGCGACACAAGTCGACACAAGTGTCGTTCTGTCTTTATTATTCATTGAATGCGAAGAAAGACAGAACGACATTTGTGTCGACTTGTGTCGCTTGCTGGGAAGCTCCCACTGTTTGCACTCGGCTGATTCCAGCGCCTTACGCCCATTTTCATTTTTGGGACTATTTCGCTACACCTATTTTCCAGCACTGCCGACAAAGTCTCCACTTGGATACACCAGCATGTTTAGAAGATTATCTATTATATTAAATTATCACCGCGATGCGATTTATAAAAGGTCCGATTTGAGGCTATACGCGCGCGAATGGGATTTAATAGGAATCTTGTTAAGTTAGTCTTGTTAATCTCGCACATATGCGAGACGTAAAGAAGATGAGAATATAGCCCACCCGAATTTTGATAAATAAGAACAAATCAACTCATTATGCACATCACATACTCCATCGGAGTGGCCAAGATTTGACCACTTACCCCGTCGTATCCAGTCGTCTTTCGTTGGGCCAGATTGGACCTACCTTTCGTTGCTCCTGGCCATACAGTCTGGTCATTTTGACCAGAGATCAGGAAGAAAGAAAACTCCTCCCATAGGCCGGTATTCATAGTCGATTCTTAATTCAAAATCATTTAAGTGTTGTCTTAAGACGCAAATACGGCTCTGTGATTAGTTGAAAACACATTAAGAGTATACTTAAGACGATCTTAAATATCAGAACGGACTATGAATACCGGCCATAGTCGGTTTATCACCGACAGATATTTCGTACGGTTACAACTACGTGCGAGCGAGCGCCGATCGTATCGAAAAATGCACGGCCAGGAGAGAAGTTATTTAAAGAAGAAACGTAATTTTAACAAATTCAATTTTTAAAACTGATCAAAGCGTAAGTTTACTTCCGTTTTCAAAAGCACTGCAGCCGTCTCTTCGTAACTCGATCTTTGAATATACAATTTAAGCACATAAATACAGAATAAAATTTTACTTTGTGTTGTATTTATTTTAATTATATTCCGCGATGAAATTAAAAACAATTAATAATTTCTTGAAAATGTTGTTAAAAACTCGGGGAAAACCGATCGCGAAATTCCGTTACTTTAATAAGAAAAACATTTTACTCACCGATATGATGCGCAGCAGCGGAGTTGTATCCACGTTGATTCTGCAATAACTCCCGATGCCTCCTCCACTCAGGTGTCTTCCTCTCAGGTGTCTTCCGGCACACTCGCGAATTTACATTTACGATTGTTAAGTCACTTGTCACTGTCACTGTATCCAAATGCCACTTCTTCGGTTTTAACTGTGTCCGATTGCCACTATACATTTCGATTACATCGAGCGTCGATGGCAAATCGCTAGTTAACGATACCGAAAAGCATCGACTGCAAGCTACATAATTCCCGCGCCGGCGTCGTCGTCTCAGCTGTCCGCACACTCGCGAATTTGCACTTGCGATTGTAAAGTCACTTGTCGCTGTCACTGTATCCAAATGCCACTTCACTAGCGAATTTACACTTTCGTTTGTAAAGTCACTTGTCGCTGTCACTTTATCCAAATGCCACTTCTTCGGTTTTCACCGACAATGAGTCCGATTGCCACTGTACGAACTGTTCGATTACATCGAGCATCGATGGCAAATCGCGGCAATTCAGCGATCGCACGACGATATCAATCACCGATTATTCGCAGAGAGCGATCGCGGTTTCTTCCCGCACTTGTCGCGAACGCGTATCACGAAAGACTGATACGATATGCGAGGCGGCGCGGGCGTAACCGATCAATTCGACCGTTGCCGCGCGAATGACCCTGTGCGTACGGGCGCCGTAAACACCGAGCGCGGATTCCAAGAAATGACGTAGCGCCGCGAACACCTCGGTCGAAAACAATCTATTGAAATCCGCCCTCGGTTTTCGGCCGAGGTGTTTTTACGGCGCTACGTCATTTCTTGGAATCCGCGCTCGGTTTTTACGGTGTTTACGGCGCCGTACGCAGGATCATTCGCGCGGCAACGGTCGAATTGATCGGTTGTGCCCGCGGCGCTTCGCATATCGTATTAGTCTTTCGCGATACGCGTTCGCGACAAGTGCGGAAGAAACCGCGATCGCTCTCTGCGAATAATCGGTGATTGATATCGTCGTGCGATCGCGGAATTGCCGCGATTTGCCATCGATGCTCGATGTAAAGGCTGGTCTACAACACATGGAGTAAGCTGGAGTAAGAAGTAGGAGTAAGGAAATAAATCCATTTTATTTCTTACTCCTACTTCAGCTCTTAGGCTTACTCTCGGTGAATCAAAATGCCATCAATTAGTGTTACAAATATTTTAAAAACCATGCCCGTATTTCAGCTTCCTCACACCAAAAGCTAGAAGTTAGGGCTCTCTCTTACTCTTTACTCGAAGCTTACTCCACGTATTGTAGACGACGCATAATCGAACAGTTCGTGCAGTGGCAATCGGACTCATTGTCAGTGAAAACCGAAGAAGTGGCATTTGGATAAAGTGACAGATGACAAGTGACTTTACAAACGGAAGTGTGAATTCGCGAGTGAAGTGGCATTTGGATACAGTGACAGTGACAAGTGACTTTACAATCGGAAGTGTAAATTCGCGAGTGTGCGCGGACAGCTGAGACAACGACGCCGGTACGGGAATTCTGTAGCTTCCCTGGTGAAAATAAAAATTGGAGCGTAAGTCGAACGTAAGGGGAGAGTGACAGAAGCGTGAACGAAATGTGTTAAGAAGCGTAATTTGGAACAGCGAAGCGTAAAAGAAGCGTTCGAAGTTTCTTTTACGCTTCGCTGTTCCAAATTACGCTTCCTACACATTTCGTTTACGCTTCTGTCGCTCTCCCCTTACATTTGATTTACGCTCCAAATTCTATTTTCACCAGGGTAATTGCAATCGATGCTTTTCGGTATCGTTAGCTAGCGACAGCCAATGGCGAGGACGATCTTCGAAAAAGACGTAGATTTTCATTGGTTGTTCCTAGTTAACGTTATCGACAAAAACCTCGATGTCAAGTTACCCAATTCCCGCACTGCGAGGAGGACACCTGAGTGGAGGAGGCATCGGGCGCCATTGCAGAATCAACGTGGATACAACTCCGCCGCTGCGCATCATGTCGGGGAGTGAAAAGTTTTTTTTATTAAAGTAACGGAATTTCGCGGACGGTTTTCGCGATCAGTTTTTAACAACATTTTCACCAAATTATTAATTGTTTAATTTCATCGCGGAATATAATTAAAATAAATACAACACAAAGTGAAATTTTATTCTATTCTTATCCCAGTGAGAAATTATTCGTCGATCGATGTGAAAACGATGTCGAATCGACATCGATACCGTCAAATTGACGTCGATTCGACATCGTTTCGACATTGATCGACAAATAATTTCTCACTGGGATGTGCTTAAAATTAAACGAATTAAATGAATAAAATACGAATTTCTGCTCTTCACGGAATAAGAGATTGGAATGGAGACTTTATCGGCAGTGCTTGAAAATTTAATGGGTGTAGCGAAATAATTCCAAAAATGAAAATGGGCGTAAGGCGCCGGAATCAGCCGAGCGAAAACGGTGTCAAGTAAAACGCCGGCGTGGCCCGTGGCCGCTCTCAGGTTTCTCTCTGCTTATAGCGATTTTTTTTCTTCTTTCTTCTACATTGGAAAGAGAAAGATAAACTCTGAACTGGTGCAGCAAGTTCAGGCAGAAAGAACAGACCGATTGTGAATCTCTCATTACATTCAAAATACAAGGTGAGACATTGCGCATGTAATCAATTTCGAGGGCAAATTGTTGATTGGTTCTTACTGCGTTCAACCGCTATACCCTAGCGGAAAAATTTCTATAAATAACTACAAAAAATTTACTTGAAATAGAAATTTGTAGAAATTTTTATATCTTCGTTGAAACATTAATTTTTTTGTAAAAATATCTACAAAATAGTACCACAAATTACAATGTTCTCAAATCAAGAAATTATTGCGAGTAATATTTCATGAAAATGTACAATTTTGTAAAAATGAGTACAAAATTTTACTGGTTTAAAAAATTTGTGAAACAACAAAATCTTAAAGAATTAAAACGTCCGCTTACTTGTAGAATATTACAAAAATTAACAAAAGTGTCCCAATTCTAGCATTTTCGTGTTGATTTTCTCATAACACTTTTTAAATTTACATAGAATTTCATAGATTCTGGCAGTTATATTTAATTTTCTTGTAGAATTTTGTAGAATTATTTCCGGCAGGGTAATTTGCAGTTTAAAAGTGGGGGCTTTTTGATTGGTCACGAGTGCGCATCCACGGAAATGTTGCCAGTTACACCTTCATTAGTACACCCGTTCGTGCACGTTTGCGCGTCCGTCGCTTCGGCACGTTTGCGATTACACGCTATAAGTTGCGAGTGATGTCGAAATAACCCGGGCTGATTGCAACTCGTTGTTGTTCACACTCGTTCTGTCGTTGACACGTGGTGTACATCATGGGGAGCACGGACACTACGGCGAAATTGCTCAACGATAACTACGAGATTGACGAGTACGGAGCTAACCTGAAAATTCTACCCTGCAACAACCAGGTGAAAGAGTTGCAAACTATTTTGCGGGATAAGTAAGTATTATTCTTGATAACCGAGCGTTGAAAATTATTGTCTGTATTGAGTCATAATCGTAAATAAATATACCCTGATGTAAATGGATATATTTGATTCATTTAACTTTCTCGCGGATTTTTATATAATTTTTTGCGTCACTAAGAAAAAATTGTAAACGTCCGTCAAATTTGATTCATTTATATCCGCATTATGATATGTTAAAATCCGTGAAATGCTGAATTTTGTGTGGACTGATAATTGAGAATAGCCATGAGCTAGTTATTGATAGGTCTTGTTTTATAGGAATACTACGAGAAGTGATTTCAAATTCTACGCCGACCGTTTGGTAAGATATGTTTAATCTTGTAATCTTGTTAAAATCAGCGCTTGAATTGTTGCTGTAATTCAAGTGCTTTAATCCAAATTATTGTAGCATACATATACAATCTGACAAGTTACGCTTCATTTTTTTGAACTTTGTATAGTTTACTAATTAAAGCCAACGGCACATGGTATCGTTTTTCCTACTGGGTTTCTTACGACAGCCAATCAGGATTTAATTTTGAGTCACCTGATCTAAAACTCTGTACCTTTATTGGTTCTTGTAAGCAATCCAGTGAGAAAAATAGTAAGGTGTGTTGTTGGCTTAAGTAGATGTTAAAAATAATATGAAGAAGGCTGCTTTCTGATTTTTATTTATTCTATAAAGAGAGGAAGTTGTGACGATTTTGTTCGGAATGTTTTAGATCAGGCTAGTCATTGAAGAGAGTTTGAACCAATTGCCTTTTACAAAATGTGTGGTGACAACACCGACCGGTGCCAAATACAAAGGTTTAAAGTATCAGAAGGGAAATTGTGGTGTATCTATAGTGAGAAGTGGTGAGGCTATGGAACAGGTACAATTTCAATTCCAAACGTGTCAAGATCTTGGCGTGAATTTGCGGAATTTGTTGCTAACTTATGGTATAATATTTTTATAGGGTCTAAGGGATTGTTGTCGTAGTATCAGAATTGGTAAGATATTGGTAGAAAGCGATATTGACACGCATGAAGCTAGAGTAGTTTATGCTAAATTCCCAGATGATATATCCGAGAGAAAGGTCTTATTGATGTATCCAATAATGAGTAAGTATTCAAGAATATTCCGAGATCCATATTCCGAATCCTCTTTTATCGACAAAGGTGCCAAATTAATTGGTTGTAAAAGGTTCTTCACTTTTATAGGCACTTTTATCGATAAAAGAGAATTCAGAATATGGGTCTAACGGTTGAAAAGTATTTGGCACCGAGTTAAAGAAGATTTTCATATATATCTTACTTTTATTGCACACGTAGGTACAGGAAACACTGTCATAAAAGCTATAGCTGTGCTTAAAGAACATAACGTGCTCGAAGAAAATATCATCCTGTCAAATTTGTTTTGTACACCAATCGCAGCCAAATCTCTAGTCACTGCCTTCCCTAAGGTGATTTATGTTATTCATATACATATGTATATTCGCACTTGCATGAAAATATCCATTAAAATATGTGATAATGTAATATTTCATTTTTTAAGTAAAATTGCTCTTTTTTACAGATGAAGATCTTAACGTCAGAGATCCATACAGTTGCGCCAAATCATTTTGGACAAAAATACTTTGGTACGGATTAATTATATTTCACTACTGCATAATATGCTAAGAGAAATATAATGCATAATTAAAACGAGAAAATCAATTAAGAGTGATTACATGCTAAAATTAAATGTCACCCTGTCAAAGCTAGTTGGTAATTAAAATTATTTACTCTAACGTTTAATAGTAATCTATAACAATGAAATACTATACAACATTGAGTGTTACCAACAAATGTTTACACATTCTCTATGCATTTTAGTATTTTAAATACTTATTTTCGTATATCTTTTAAAAATATGTATTTAATTTTGTATTTTAAATATTCAAACTGTTTTACTGATTTATGATTATATTAAAAAATTAAATATTTAATTATTTTAAGCAAAGCTGTTAATCACAGTTGGTCGATTAACTGCTTTTTTTAATCATGTTCATCTGCTGGCGTTAAATGATTCTTAATGTTATTTTATTTTTTGACATTACAGTTTAAAATGGACATATCTAAGATTCATTAATATTAATAGTACATATTCTGATGAACAGTTTTGACAGTTTTAATTATTTTATGATTTATAAAAGTACCATGTTTGTTGTATAAATGTCAAGAAAAGATATTGCAAGTAAAATACAGATATTTATAACTTTGAATTATAAATTCTGAACGTTAAGTCTGTTAGCTGTAAGCATTCTCTTGATTTTCTCTGTATATAATAAGACTGTAAGTAATAAATTTGTTTTAAATGTACTTTGAATCTATCGAATACCGATGAAATAATTGATATTTTTACAATGACATCTCTTAACAATTTTTTAAAATAGGAAAGATAACAATTTTTTATCAAAGTTTTCTAATTCTCTTTTGTTCATGATACGTACTGCATTATTAGTTTTATGTATGCTATACTTAATGTCAAATATTTGCATAAAATATCTCGCATTAAGATAAGCTAAGTGTCATATGCGATAATACTTACCAGTTCGGGTATTACATATACATATACGTATACACATATACACATCTCTTAAATACAGATTTATAGGATTGCCGTCCCAGTAAGAAAGGCAGACAGTTTGATAGATAACTTAACTAAGAGCTTGACATTACAAACAATCATCTTCAAAATTGTTTTATTTTCTTGTTTTGTAAGAAAGATCTCTTCACTGAACTTAAAAGGGCGAAAATCTTAACTGACATTAAATTGCTAAGTTCACTAAAGTTTAGTAATGTCAGGTTTTCTATGTACACGTGAATCTAGTATGTGTACAATATACTTGTACATAAACAATAGGAGAATTATGAATATAGCACTTGTTAATTAAAGGAATTATACAAAATATTTTAAATTAGTTAAAGCAGGTTTTAGTTTTTTTTTTAAATTCAGATCTAGTTTGTAACTATCGTTATACTATAATCTGTACACGATTACTCTGAAGCATATAAATTTCGCATGAAATATTAATAAATCTTGAATACCACGTACACGCGAGGCATAACTTTGTTGTACTCTGAACAGTATATGCATAATCGAGTATTCTTTTTACAGTACATAGTTTAATTGAAATAACGTTAAAAGTTATTTTACAATTTGACTTAAGCATTATTGAAGAGAAAGAATACCTCATTATATGTTATCCAATGTCTTAAATATAACATATGATATATATAATTATTTTTGTTACATGTAGCTTACAAATGTGTGAGAAATCAATCTGTTTGCATAATACAAATGTCTAATGAGCATAATTTGTTCTATTAGAGTGTATATAACAGTTTCGAATATACAATATTGCAATGCTTTCATGATTATATTTATACATGTCCCCAAATTTATAGGAAAAAACACTATACGCAATGAAGATGCTTATGATCCAAGACTCTCACATCTTTTAAAGGTCTGGTAATTTTGATTTACCCCTGATTGCATCTTATACATAAATTTTAACGGGATATGTATTTGTATGAAATATGTTTTTTTATATAATTGTGTACGTATTATTATATACGTATTATAGGTATATTTTTTTAACACATTTTAGTCGGACTGGGTACAAACTTTATTTACAATAGTTGTACACAAACAAGATTATAACATCTTTTGTTTAATATAAAGAGAATTAAATATTATATAACGCATCGCACATAATTTATTTACTTAATAGTATACAAATATGGCGATGCATTCAAAGAGATAGTCCTAATTGTTCGTTAATGTCAGTTAAGAGCAAATAATGGTATGTACAACAGGGGTATACATTGAGAATTATTTTATGTACAACATATACACTCGGTACATAAAATCGAGACACAATTCACGCTCACTAATTAAAAGTTAGAAAGAAGCATCATATACAACTGTATTAATCCTTGATATGAGTAAAGATATGTTTAGTTACATGCTCATTGAATGAGCTATGCAGCTTTTACATGTAGCAAGTTTCAAGTAGAAATACGAAAATAATCTCTGCAATTTTTCAGTAGGTAATTATCACGTATTTGTTTAAATTATTAGAATAAAATTTTAAACCCGACGTCTTAATAAAAGCGTAGATTCAGTATAAAGTCCCTCAAATTTGTTCTTAAAAAAAATCTAGATTGTCTACGGCATTCTTATTAAACTACAATATTTGCCTTATAACGTGCCTATGAAAAAGCTGCATTCAACAATTACAATAATACCAGTAAGACCAACAATTTATGTGATGTAAATTCCTGTTATTGGACATGAGATGTTTATATACACACGATTGTTCTTAGATTTATTTACATTGATAATTGTTTAACATTTTTCGCATCAGCAACAAGTTTGTTTAATGCAAATTGTATGCGTAATATTGATAAATACAGATATATGTGCACAATGATTATTAATTGAATGAGACAACAAATAACATTAGTAAAATAAATATAACTTAAAAACTGGACTACTTTTTATTTTTGTGTATTTTTTTATATTTTAATCTATATTTAGAGGGGGAAATTTTAATATTATTATGATAAAACATTGACCAGCAGAAGATAATTATTAGATAACATAATTATTTATTATATTAATGATATTTTATTAATATATTTAACCAATAATTACTAATTTTTCAATTTATTAAATTTATTTGGCTGTACATTCTTCTCTAATTTTGCCAATTGTGATTAGAAAATGTATTTAATTTTTATCATATTAGTAATAAAAATTGTTCAATAGAAACCCACTCCAGATTTTATTTTTAAAAATATATTTGTAAAAGGTCTTTTAATATGTCTGAAATATCCTGCATATCTCGTTTTTGTTGATTAGAACTTCGTTATATAATGTTACTGCGAAGAAACATAAATAACAATACATCTTATATTTTACTACTGATAAAAATGGAAATTGAAGATTTTTCGCAAACATCTTTAAAACTTTATAGATTTTTTAGATATAAATAAGTACATTTTTTATATATACTTATTTCAAACGTGTAATTATAAACATATTAATAATTATTGGTTTCAGGCTGTACTCGTGTTGTAGTGGAGACACCAAATATACAAGAGAAATATAATTGAGGATGTAGTATCATTAGACTTCAATTGAACTGATCAAATTTAACTTATTTAGAATATAATGAATGTCCTTATATCTTGAGTAAATCAATCAGATTATTTTTACCTTGAGAAAGGATAAAGAATATTTTTAGATATTGTATACCAAGAACTATATATTACGTGTAGCTAGTTTTTATAACGCTTTTGAAAAAGACCAGCGTATAGGCTGCTTTATTTGTTATAAGAATTTTATCTATATTTGAGTATCATATATCTACATGTGTACTTACCTTATTTAATAATAGAAACAGACTTAATAAATTCCTCAAAATAGATATTGTTACTTTATACGTCATACAATATTTATTATTTAGTAAAATATATTAGAAATAAATTTTAAGGATATATAAACGGAATCTTAAACTTGAATCATTGTATTTATTAATAAATTCTTGTATGTATGTAACAATGATTGCTGTTGAGCCGTGTGTGTGTGTGTGTGTGATGCGTGTAATGAATATTATTTTGTAAATATGGTTATATCTAATGATTATATATCTAATATAATATGTTAAAATTTATTTTAACATTAATATTTAATCTTTATTGTTACCGTCCCCTGCTCTTCATCCTTGTAATGAGAAAGACATGTCAACATGAATAAAACTTTGCTCTCTTTGATTGTAGCAGTAAATTATATATATATATATCATGTGCGATATCAATAATAGATATATCATGTTGAAGAATAGAAATATAATAGCAAAAATAACTTTTTATTTCATTTATTTATTTATAACAAAGCAACTTGTAGCAAATATTGGGTAAAGCTTAATTCTTTTGTGATGGAAGTATCGTTTCAACGATGTAGATAAGCAATAAAATATTTACGCAAGATATTCTTGCTGAGCGTAGGAAGAAAATGTCATGACTAAAAATAATAAGAGAAACAATAATTCATATAGGCCTTTTGATCGATACAACTGCCACTATTATTATGCACAACTATTTAGAACATACCTAGGATGAATAACGCAAGATATGTGTACAAAATATTCTTTTTTTTTAATTCATTGTACATCATTATTTTGTGCCATATATTAAAATTTTTTTTATGTTAAATAGATTGTTGAGTTCGTTTCAATAGTAGCAGTTGTAAGAAATTTTCTCTCACTTTTGCTTTGAACTTTTATATCATTATATTATAATTTACAAGCATTGCAAACCAATTTTACTGTTCTTAAAAATAGGATTTGTTAAAAGAACTTTGTTTTTACAAAGTCGTTCGTTTTAAACACAAAGATTCTAATGGTCGAATAGATTGTGTTGATTAAGCATGAGTCATATACACACATATCAATGAAACCATGTCACGCCTGTATGAGTCATGTACAACAGCATAATTTTGTCATACATAGAGAATGGAAGTTTGTCATAAAAAAGATATTCATAATTCAGTTATAAAAATCTAGAATCTCTTCTTTTTTGTTCTCTGTTTCTTCTAATAACTATTAACTTGCTAACATATTTAATGTATAAGCTCAAGAAATCAACGACTTCTTAAAGCATATTTGGAAAGACTTATTTGATTATCTTAACGCAAGAAATGAAATATCCAAATACAAATTTTTACAACAAGCCAAACCTACTTTTAATACTGTTGCGTTCGATTAAAAGTATGGTATAAATATAAAAAAAATTTTCTCATGTGTAACAAATTAATTATATCTAAAAATTAAAAAAAAAGAATTATAATATATATTTATCTATAACTGTTCTCATATATCTCAAATGATATTGTGTATATGTGTATGTGTCGCTACATATCCTATGTTTACTTTTGTACGCTTGGCACGCAGCAACAAAATAACGAGAAGGTTGCACATGTAAAAGAAGAAATGTATATACTTCAGTTCCATTATCGGATATGCTAATGTACCAGGTGTGGTGCAGTGCGAAACAATGCAAAAATAATAAACAAACGTGAGGATGTACATAAAGACGGCGATATGAAGGAATTGATTCATATCACCTAATCAGACCTGTTGCAAAACATTGGTGAAGACGCGTTTGATCTAAAAATACAAAGTATATTCTATAAAAGAATGTTCCATGCGTCATTTATACTGATCATTCAACAGACTTTCTGCAATGCAGAATATTATCTTGGCAGTACCTTCATTCAGCCTTAGTAATGTAATAAACGTAGCTTTGCAAAATACGCTTGTGGGTGGAAAAGGAAGGATATCATTGTGTGGAATATCCCAACTTTACATGGGTATATCTCGTATCTATTCCTCTTTCTCTTGGTCGTCGGACTTCTCTTCATTTTTATCGCCGCTATCTTCAGCGTGTTCACCTTCGTCGCTAGCGACTACTTTTGCCGCGCTATCTACGTCGGTTGGTTTAGAGTCGTCTAACGCTTTAGTCTCACTTTCTAGAGTTGTCCTTTCTGGTAAACTAGAGCAGACGATTATAAATTAATTATTCAATATTTCTAAACAGAGCATTCCCATAAGTAATTCATTTATTATCACAGTATAGCAATTACCTGTCAGAAAGTAATATATCTGCTTCTTTATCCGCGGAAGGCTAAAAGGAGCAGAATGGAAATATTACATATGTACAAACTGTCAATATACATTTACTAACAAAGTCATTAGGCTAGTAAAATAAAACAGGTAAATAGTCAAAATAATTATATATACAGCTGAGTTCGTTAATGACAATGTAGTTGCTAATTTCATCATAATTTGGCTCCTTTTCAAACATATATAGACGAGCAAATGTAACACTGATTTGTCATATGCCGTACACGTGTCGCACAATGAGTATGACTGTAGTAATTGTCACTTCTATTTCGGCGCGTTGGAACTTTCTCTCTCTCTCTCTCATAAAGAAGCGGTATATACAATTTAAAAGCGAAGTTACGACAAAGCTCTTTTTAAGTTTCAGTTCCGAACAAAGGAACAGCATTACCTCCCGACTTGAGGTATTTCCGTTCTCTTGAATTTCACTCTGAGACTTCGAATCGAGAGTAATCTCTGCGGTACTGACTGCTGACGTCACTTTCAGAAACTTCTCCAGCTCGTCCATTTCGTTCGCTAAATCAAAATCTTCATAATCCTGCAAAGTTAAACCGCTTGTATTTTGTAAAAAAAAAGAAAAAGTACGATATCTTTTGAACAGTTGTTCCTCTAGTACTTGTTGCACGTGTGCAATATATTTTTAAAACTGAGCTCGGTATCCGCGTTAAGAGGGACAGAAAACAGCGCGAAAGAAAGATAATTACGCCGCAATAGTCATCCTCGTTAAATATCTGTGGTGGCAATGGATACTTGTTGTTCCTAGCATTACTGTTAGCCTGCATGAATTCCTTCTCCAATTCCTTGCCCGGCTCCGTTATATCGATGATCTCATATTCCACATTTTTACTATCTAGAATCATCATGACGCGTTGCTGTCTTTTCTTCACCTGTAACACGTTTGCATGGGGTTACAACTTTTCGAAATCTCTTGCGGCGAATTCGGTTGCCTCGCGCTAGTGCGCGCCGAGTGCGCTAAGACTTGTCTACAGTCAATTCTTATATTTAAGGATCGTCTTAAATATCTCTTGAAACATTTCTTACATCGAATTCGGCTGCTCGCACTGGTGCGCATCGAGTGCACACCAAGGCCCGGTTTCACCAGCGTCGCTCAACTTTAAGCTCAGTTTAATTCGTTCTTTGTCTCTTTCCAACTGTTACTTCAGAAAGAGACGAAGAACGAATCAAGCTAAGCTTAAAGTTAAACAACGTTGGTGAAACCGGGCCTACTTGTTTCTAGTCAATTCTTATGTTTAAAGATCATCTTAAATACCTCTTGCAATATTTCTTATCCAGAAAACTGGCCTGTACAACATTGATGCGGATCATTCTTTGACTAAATACTCTTTGAACGTGTATCTAAGACGAAGTTAAGTACAAGAATATTGACTATAAACTCGCATATGCACTCACAATCAGTTGCGCGCTAGCGCAAGCAACCGAATTCGCAATTAGGCCTGGTTTCACCAACGTCGCTTAACTTTAAGCTTAGCTCAATTCGTTCTTTGTCTCTTTCAAACGTGAATTAAACTGATTGAAGTTAAACGACGTTCGGTGAAACCTCAGCCAGTAAAACGATCTGTACGGCATGTGTATGCATTATTTTTTTTTTGGCCAAATACTTTTTCAACGTTTAAGATGAAGTGAAATACAACAATTAACTATAAACAAACCTTGGTGCGCGCTCGGTGCGCACTAGTGCGAGCAATCGAATTCGCCGTTAACTTATCATGCGTAACGTTTCAATTAATTACGCCCTATTCGTAGGTAACTAATATTGAAGAGAGGAGAACTTATTGTTACTTTGCAGCGTTGAAATTATAATGTCACTTTTACAATAATGCTCATACGTTGCAAAGCAATTTAAGACAGAGTTGTATACAGTGTCTGGCTGGAAAAACTCATGTACAAATAGAGCCCGTTGAGCGCAACCGTCTGACATTTTTTTACCACTCTCATAACAATAAAAATTGCACAACAATTATCGATGGCTGCGAAGTATCAGCGGCAATAATATTGCCAAAACACGATGCCATTAACATTTGCAACGCGAGTGCTCGCGATATATTTAACAGACGAACGGGACCGAAAGACACGGATCACACGCGGGACGGGTTTCCCTCGTCGATAACGGAACATCGCTATCGAGCTAAATATACGTGACAAAATCGACAACCGCAGGCTCCCGATCTCGAGCGAGATAAACAGAGCCCGGATAAACGGCCCGCCCCGTGGCGAACAGCTGGGGAGAAACTGGCGCGACGCCGCACGTCCATCGTCGAGGGCCGCGAGCGGAACGGAATTTAACCGACGAGGAGGCGCAGTACGCGTCAACGTCGCGAGTGACAGTCCCCGATGATCGGGGATAGCGCCCCAGGACCGCTAATGTGCCTGCCGTTCGCATTGTAACCTGATACAGCGGCGACGACGATGACGACGACGACGACGACGACGACGACGACGACGGTGACGACTGCCTGGCGCGCGCGGTGTCAGACCAGGCGCCGTGGTCGAGTGTCGCGGCACCGGAGCCCGGGCGATTCGCCGCCGAAAGCCGCTAGCACTCACTTCCTTGTTGCCGCTGATACCCGATACGTAGATCTTGACGACCATCGCGCTGGCTGTTGCGGCCACCACCGGCTCTGTACTCTGTGTGCGCTCCTGGACTCGGCGACGCGCGCTCCCCTCGCTGCACTGCGTCGCGCTCGCTGCGCTGCGCTACGCTCCGCTCGGCTCCGCTCCGATTAGGCGGCGCGCGCCGGACCGGAGACGACGACGACGACGATGACGACGTGCGGGGCGACGGTGGGCAGGCAGCCGACCGCCAACAACCGGTCAGCTCGCGCGAGTGATTCCGCTATTAGCCGCTCGCGCGCGCGCGCCGACGACACGCCGATCTCGTGAGCGGGCGAGGGGAAGCGGAACCGGCGAGTCCACCAACTCCGGGCTGCGCGCGGCTTGGCCCACGTCGCATCGGGCCGGTTCGGTTCCTCTTTCTCCCCCTCCTCTCCCCCCCTCCAGAGATGGACGAGCGATTCTCGCCGCCTTCCCCTCGCCGCGCTAAGCCTGCGTCTCCGCGCGAGCCGGCGGAAAGGGGGAAAATCGCGCCCGCGTTTGGAAAAGCGACTTTGCACGCTCCGCGAGACGTTCCGCTCTTCCCCGCTCGTCGGCAGCCTCGCCTCCCCCCGCCCCCCCCCCGCGATTATGTAACGCGTTACGATGACGTGTTACGTAATCGACGCGTATTTTTGGAAATTTGTTAGAAGAAAAAAGTACGAGCGATGACGTTTGTTTGGATGCATCGGGGCGGCTAGAGCGAATCGTTCGACCGGCGGTCGAGTTACGTAAACTTTGCACCGCCGACCGCGATTCGTCGCTACGGAGAGATTGGAAAATTTAGTCGAGGCACTTTTTTGAAGTGACCGCCGCGTTTCGGCGGTGGGGACAGCTTTCGGAAGGAGAAGCGAAGCTCCTGGTGAAGTCGGGGAGAAACGCAGTGTAACTGCAATAACATTTGAACAAAAGAGCTAACTATGGGCGCGTTCCGTTTCACGCATGATACGCATGATGCATTATTTATCTTTCTTTAACATTTGCCGAATAACAAGGATAAACGATGCATCATGCGCATCATGCGTGAAACGGAACGCACCCTATGTTGCTGTAATATTACTTTCTAATATTTCTGCAAGCGGACGTTTTACCGTCACCGCAATCCTGCAGCAATGTTGCAGCAACATTTTACAACATTTCTACAAGGTTGCAATCTTGCGAAGAAATATTTCTGCAATGTTGCTGCAATATTTCTGTGCCGTATGGGATACGGGCTGCTGATAAAATTTGAACAAATCTGCAAGTGCTTTTGAGAAATCTTCGTGAATTTAAAATATGAAAAAGTCTTAGGAGTATCATGAGAATTTTGTCACCATGGAAATAAAATGAACAACATATGTGTTAAAATTTTGCTAAAGTGTATCACATTTTAACTTCAGAAATTTGTATTTTGTTCTACTAAAAAGCATCTTTTTATCAACATTTATTGACAAGATTCTATTATGTATGTACAGAATAATTTTTTTTCACGATAATTAATAATTAATAATTTTTCATGATATTTTGTTAATCAAAATTCACATTTATATTATTATTCTTTATAAACGATATAAATCACGTTGTAAAATAATGTTCGCAGATAATGGAACGCTTGCCACTCATTTTAAAATCGCCAAGTGTTTCCCGCGCGTTTCGTTTCTTCCAGCCAACTTCCGACGTTTGCACGACGTCGCTCACATCACGCATCGCGCGCTCTCTTTCCGGTTCTTCACGAGAGATAGCTTCATCTGCTCGAAATGGTGAGATATTTTATCGAAATTAACGCGCTAAATCTTGCCGAGATCTACGTAATGTTGATCACCAAATGAGAATAACTGCTTTCGAGGAACTTTTCATTTGTATATTTCATCCTGAATCGCTAAACGTTGCACGATTATAGGAGATCTAACCTACAACGAGGTTATGTTTCGCAAGCGTTCCTCGCTCTATTCACGATCGCTATTGCTTTGTATCATTTGGTATTATCGATGTCGTGAGAGATTCTGAAACTGTTTGATTTTTAACAGGCGAAACGCACGAAGAAGGTCGGAATCACCGGGAAATATGGCACCCGTTACGGTGCCTCCCTTAGGAAAATGGTTAAGAAAATGGAGATCACCCAACACAGCAAGTATACTTGCTCGTTTTGCGGCAAGGTGAGTAATTGTGCTTCATCAGCACCACAAGTCGGAAAGATAGACGCATAATTACAGACTACATTATAGAAATGTCCAGGCGTTCCTTGCTGTGTACCTTCTCAATGCTTGATACTTTTTAGAACTAAGATTTCTCATTACTGTGCGTTCCATTACGAGTCGTTCATATGAATGTTATTTCATAATTCGATGCAGTTAGTAGCAGAAATTGCCATACGTATGCGTCAAGCTGTGCTTTTGCGTTTTCTAACAGGAGGCGATGAAGCGCAGCGTCGTAGGCATCTGGTCCTGCAAACGCTGCAAGAGGACAGTTGCCGGTGGCGCGTGGGTGTATTCCACGACGGCTGCCGCGTCAGTGAGGTCGGCTGTACGCCGATTGCGGGAGGTGAAGGAACAGTAAATGTAATAAATATCTTTAACAATTTATACCCCTCGATTTCATTTAATGCGAACCGATTCCACTTGACGTGTTCCTGATTGAACAACTGGACAATCGTGACAATTTAATTACATCTCATTAAATTGATCTTTCAGTTTTCTTGTCTGCTTCTGCATTATTCTTTGTTGTAACTTTGTTTTATTCCTGGATCAAGGTTAACGAGTACGAATTTTTTTCAAGCATACACCGGAGCTATTTTAACGTGTGTGAAGAGGTATTAAACGTGACATTATAATTAAACCTTTGCATTTATTAATCAGGAGTTGTAAGTATTAAAAAATAATGATACCAACGTTTCACATATGTAACGAAACTAATTATTTATTCTAACAAGATGTAATTGTGTATCGATTGTAGTTATAAGATTCTATAGAATACTTATATGGTACAATTTTAACAGCTATAAATAAATTACTCTTTAAGAGGCTTCGTCTTTTAGTCAAACTTAATTACATTCTGAGAAAGAAACGGAAGTCGAGTTTAAAATGTCGTTAATGTGCATACATTCATTTTTACAAATTTCACTTACTTTACGGATATCTTAAATCATTATGCTAGCGTTATAGAGACATGCATTATTATAAACTTAATAACGTATACAAATAATTTTATTGTCTTTAAACGATCGTGCTTACGCAGTTCAGGCTATTATAATAATTGAAACTCCCTTTTTCACATCATCATAATCGATTGAACCGTGAAGCTAGAGACATTCGTTGAGCAAATGATTAAAATGGGAATCGTTCATTAGCAATTTTATTTATATTAATAATAGCGTTCTCCATGAAATCAGCCTGTAAGGAATGATGTATTTGCAAAAGAGGTACTATTGACTATCGTTTTTTTTTTCTTCGATCGCGATCAAACGTTTCATCATTTATCTATAAAGTGGACTGACACATTGCTTATTTCAACATATAAGTCAATTTGTGATCTATACAAAAATAAATACCACAGTCTTAGAAGACAAATGTATCAAGCTTAACGTTGCACCATCACCGTAACATTCTTTTGGATTACATAAGAGTAATGAGTATATTCGTCGTTCAATAGTAGATACAAATAGGGAAAGAATCTTAAAGATGTGTCGGAAGTTATACTTCACAGGAGTGTAGACTTGTAAAAGTTTTCAGTAGCAGATTTAGGAATCTTTTATGTCGAGCAATTTTTATCATTGTTCGAAGAATAAAAATATTCTACTGCAACTCATGATGTCGAAGAGAAAGGTGCCAGGATCCAATAATGGAAGATAAAATTTTGTTCAGTTAATCTCTGCATAAATGCCTCCTAATTCTCTGCAATTATTATTGCATTTTCGTTACTTAACCTGTAAGTGATGCACTTTAATACAAATGTTATTTTCTTTATAGAGATTTACATTACAATGTTTCGTCGCATGTTGATTCGCAAATTAAACATTGAGGAAGTAGTAATCCGTAACTGTGCGCAATAGCTGATTATGTCGGAAAAATCTGCTATCATTAAAATATGGAAGACATTCTGGTACGTTTGCATTAAAATTGCATTATGTCTCCGTAATAAAGTGTAACGAGAGTTAATAATTGTATGCATCTAACTAAAAAATCTGATGAATTCTATATATTGCTATAAATTCTGATAAGTACATTCTTTGCACGAAACGACGCGTAACAGTTAAATTATACGAACGAGATGCAACGAGGAACTATTCAGAAACATGAATATAAAAAGATCCAGTGCTCTTTCCTAGTTATTAAATGGATTGTACAATAATAATCTTTTCTATATTATTATCGCGGTAGCGTCACATCAACTTCACTGACATTCTAGCATTCACTCCGTCATTATCTCGCTCGATGCATTTCTAGCATATTCACATTTCGTTGCGTACCGACATAACGGTCAGTCATTCGTCATTGCACTCATCCGAAATTATCAAATATCTCTCTCTCTCTCTCTCTTGTATCAACAATTATTTATAACAGTGGTCTGATATGATCTCTTCTTTACCGCTTCTCGGCTAGGAAAGAAGAAAAGGAGTTCACTCTGTTCGTCGTTTAGTATCACTTATGTTCACACGCGAACAGAGAAATTCATCTCTGTCACTATTGTGCATTCAAGGCGTACCGTAAGGACCGTACCACAAGGAATGGCAGTAAATTCTCGATACTGCTTTATCAATGGTAAATAAATCCTGTAGAATCTAATTATTTAACTACGATTTCTGACGCAATCCCGACGAGAATCGTTTCTGTCAATTCCATTTAACGTACACATTAGACGACGATATTGGACCGTTTCTTCGCCACTGGTTGTGATACTTGATTATCTCGTCTCGTATGCGCACTTGGGAAGTCCTTTGCGATCAGTCCATCGGTTACCATTTATTAAATATATTAACAAATATTGCGTAAAGATCTGGCGCTTAAAGTCGATTCGTATTAGCTGGCCTGCCATTTAAATTTGCTACGCATAATCCATTTTTGACCGATGTTGTTGACATCGCACTGCGCCAAAACGGGTTGCGACGCATCGCCCGAGTGGGGTTTTGACAAACAGTAACCCGTGTTTGTGTGTTTAATCATTTTGGTCTGAAAGAAACGGCGTGCGTTAATATTAGTTTTGCGCTTATCGCAACTATGCTTCATTGTTTTTCTTTATTTACAGATATCTGTTTTCTTTAAATACCTAATATTTAGATCATCTCTTTTACCCTACGTTCCTTACCTCGTCGTTGTAAACCCACGCTTGATTACCACCCATACCATGACATCGTACGATCTTCACTGGACCTTGTGGACTAGCTGCATCAAGGCACATATCGTCAGACATTATCTGCTGCCGCTTAGTGTAAGCAAATACCTGGATAATACAGCTTTCGTCAGAAATAACGTTGAGAAACGAGATCTCTTGATTTTCTACCACGACCCGTGGATTACCTCAGTATTCAAAGTAGACACAAACCTGGTTACCGCCTAATCCATGACAATAGCTAATTCCGACGTTCTCCCCGGTTCTCCTGCCCATAGTGTCCAAACAGGTTTGCGTCTCAACGTTTTTCACATCGCCGAGATAGTAATAATCTAGCGGCATTGGCGATTCCGGGTATATATTCTCCAAGTACCATCTGAAGCTCTTGCATTTCAGCCGTTCTCTGAGTTTTATCCGCTCGGAAACATCGCCGACGTCGACGTTTCGCGCCCCTAAAAGAAATTCAGTTTCTGTAACGCTACAACGGCTTACAAACGACGAAGCTATTCACATAATAATATCTTTTTACATATTGTGCTAGCATGTCAATTGTTTGAAAAGAAGATTTGTCAGAGAATTTTGTGCTAAAAATAAAGAAACTGGTGACCACGGTCTATTGTATGATACATTAAATGCCATATGCTTGCTCCTAAAAAAATAATTGTGCAACGCATTTTTTTCTGGGAATCTGAAAGAGGTAAAGAAGTTCATGACGTAGCGTCGATTTATATATACACGCATACACACACATACGCAATAACTTTCGTACATCTGCAAATGCAGCGTGCAGAGATGTATTGTGTTTCATCTCAAAGTTGTCTTACAATTTCATACATATATTGTCAATTAGGAAGCTACTATGAATACACGTGTGCTACGTATTCATGTTACTCGCATGTTTGCCACTCTAATAGAGTATCTCCCTTTAACAGTAACCTTTTGACTCTATAATAGTATCACATAGAACCCTTAATGCCATGCGTGACTTATCTCTTTTTTTTACTCTCCAAGTACACCACTATATATTTTATTTGCACTGCCGTTCATTGTACATTATACCCATCGTTGTCTAATGGACCATTAACAACATTACAGCGTTGACAGAGAACGTGATAGCAATGACGTTTGAAATAAATGTCAACGGGTATCTGATAGAGGCAGCGAGCACCCAGAAGCCGTGTACGAAAATAATTGATGAAGAGACGGGACATGCAGAGAGCTCCCAAAGCATGCGTTATCGCAAAGCAACCAATGCACAGAAAGAGGGTAACGTAGGGATAGATTCTGTTCTTTTGTGCGAGATACGCCAGTGTTAGTGCTACCTGGATTAATGTTGTAATAGAAGTACTTCCATTGGTCCAACCAAACTTCTGCGAGCCGCGCATTGTTGTGGTTGACTATCTTGCTGGTACCGCCCGGGAAGGTATACGGGGTCGACTTACGGAATACATGCCCGACGTGCGAGCATGTCGCAATTTCCAATGTCCCACCACACATCCATATCTAACCAACTCAGGTCTGTTAGTGTGTTAGCGGTTACAAAAAAAAATGATAGTAACACGATGAGAGACAAAAAGAAACGGTACAACACATGGCTAATATAAGTATCGTATTCGGCGGCGCTCATGGTAGATTTAGAAACTCTTCTCTTGCGGCACCTATAATGTAGTCTGATAAGAGAAGTCCATTAAAAAGCAAGCGCAAATTTTCAATTGGTTAGTCGGCTGGATGGATGAGTGGTTAAGACTACACCAGCATTCGTATCGAGACACAGAGATAAAATACATCTGAAATACGTTCATTCAATGTTCACGTTAAGTGGCCATTCCCTAATTTCTATATCGTGTACAAGAGTGTACTGTGTACTGTTTGATCGATTAAAGGTACAACTTGGAGCGGACTATTTCCCCGATGGCAGCAATCGCGAAGATTCTGAGGACAATTTCTGTAGTTCGAGAGATCTTGGTTCAGTTTAGATATTAGAAATATAATGCGTGTAACTACGGGCGTGTATTATGTATGAAATATTAGTAAATACACACATAAATCATAATGTGCACAACACATACAAAAGACGATTAACTTTATGATGTATTTGTGTATGTATAGCTAATGTGTTAAAAACTATTTCGTGAAAATGTATTAACGCAAGACTGTTATTAATTATTAGTCAAATGGAGAGACAACTTGTTAACAAGGACATAATGCATTCAAAAACAGCAGCAATTCACATGGCTGTGTGAATCATAATAATTTCATGAGGTAATACAAACGGCTTGTATCAGATACCCGTCAAATGTATCATATAGAGTTTCGCTTGAATAATATAATATAATATTATAGCAGAATATAATATCAGTTTGAAAAAATGCTTTGTCAATTAACATCATTGCTTTCAGCGTAAGCGCTACATGAGTACCAGCTACACTTTAAAGCAAATGCTATTAGCTGTGAAATAAATTGTAACAAAATTTATCAACCGTTTCTTTTAGCTACGTCGAATGTACATGTGTTTAGACAATTTGGAGCGACAGAGATATGTAACAGATAACACGTTTGTGAATTTCAACGGTTACGCTATGTACGGGATATGTATAACTGATGTGCATAATGGTGGTATCATTTAGCGCAATTTAGCACAACAACATCGGGGGGAGATATTAATTAAACGATACACTTGATTATCTAACCTGGATTCATGGCATAGTAAAAATCTCTCCACTCATCCATCCAGACCTCGGCCACCCTGGCCGCATTGTGCAGGACTATCTTGCTGACACCACCCGGGAATGTATATGGGCTCTTGTCCCGGAATACATGTCCCACATGTGAACACGGACTGATTTCTAACGTTCCGCCACATTGCCACACCTACAAGGCACTTATGACTTCACAAATGACAACGGAAATTTGTGCGGTAATACTCTCTTTGAAGACCCTTCAAAAACTCTTGGTCAAATGTCCTAATATAGTCACACACTGTCACGGTAGTACGAGATAGAGGAAGTTGTCTATTAATGGATACTAGGAGCGGTTAGTCTTTCGTAACGAAAACAAAATGAGTTAGAGAATCCTACAAATTGATTTACACATAAAGTATACGGAATTGGAATATTAGCATGAAACCGGCAACTTTCCAAACACATTTCGGCCTCCTTTCCTTTATATTTGTAAATAACCATTTTGTCAATCTCACGGATTAATGAATCTATTTAGCTCAATCTGTTTGCCATATGTTTTTTGTTGGATATAATCAAGCTGTGTAAAATTTTCACGGACAATCGGAAATTAAACTGGCCACTTTCTCGTATCTCAAAGAGTGCTTACCCGGAAGCTCATTTCAAGATTTTCACCGCCCCAGATGTCCATGCCTTCGTCGTACGCGCCCAGCTCATAGAAATATTCTTTGTCAATAGAGAACAATCCACCGGCCATGGTCGGCGTTCGTAGCGGCGCCGTTCTGTCGCTATTTCTCCTGTCCATTTCTCTCTGCGCGACTCTGTACCTGTATTAAGCGAAATTAACATAATATATTAATATTTGGTTTAAAAAGCATAAGAAAAAATCAGATACCGCAAACGCACAAAACGTCGCGCTAATATATAATTTGAGAGACTGCCAACGCATTTTGTTTCAGTTTTAGAATTTCGAAATTAATTATAGATTAATTTAATTTAATTTAATAATAAACACCATATATATGCGCGTCTGTGGTGAATATTGCGGGGACCGTAAATTTGTAGACCTGACAGTTCGTAATTACGCACTGAAGGAGGGAGAGAGAGAGAGAGAAAAAGATCATTATTGATTATATTTCAGATCGTTATATGCAGATGCAGCTAAATTAGACCGAGAAGTATTGAATTTATGGGCATGGTAGCTTAAAAATCGCTGAATTTATGAAAGTACGGTAATTTAAGGGGGATATAAATTTATGTCAATAATATATATATATGCCGAATGGATCGATAGATTTTCAAGCGGATTTAACTATATGCCAATCTAACTATTCATGACTTGCAAAATATGTAGATTTACACATTTGCAACTCAAATTTCCCCCGCGTGTGTCCCTTTTTTTTAGAAGGTAAGGGAGATTCAACTATTTCGGTTAAAATAGGAGCGTAATGTTATTAAAATTCATGACGCTTAACGTCGTAATGCCGTAATACCATCTGAAGTTCAATTTCCAATTGAAACCTCCCCAGGTCATGTCGCTCGCCGGGATGTACTCGAAGGTGTCGTCGCTGATTACGTCTATGATCGGACAGACAACGGTATGCCTGTCGTTGGCGATTCTTGATAATAGCGGCTCCAGCCAGCCCTCGGTGCACTCACAGTGCGCATCTAGAAACGTGATTACTTGTCCCTTGACGTGCTTTGCCCCTAAAAGCCTCGCTCTTATCAAGCCCGACCTCTTTTCGGTGCGATACACGTACGTAGGAACGGGTAGGGTGGCTATGTAGTCCTCCAAATCTTGCTTCAGGTGTTCTGGAAAATGACATTTTCGTCACTCCGATCCACGGCTTGCAATTACGATTCTTGCGACCCCCGATATGGAATCGTTGTTTATATTTTCTTTCATTTAAACATACAGTTGGGTCGTTCGTTGGTTAAATCAATCTACATTACAAACAGTAAAAACATTGATGCCCGTCGCGCAGGTTACGCGTGCGCTGAGAAAACGTACCGCGCTCGCTCGCGTCGTCGACGAGGATGATCTCCTTCAGCAGCGACCTGGGAGACCTGTTTATCACGGACCAGACCGTCCGCAGCAGAGTGGTCCACGCCTCGTTATGGAAAACTATCACGATACTCGTGTCTGGAAGATACTTGGCGTGTTTCTTGTTCTTGCAACCCTCGAGTCGGATGTCCTTTAGGGAACGGTTTAAGGAGATCATGTCGCTGGCCATCAGATTGAATTGATTCAGCTTGAACAATTCCTGCTGCTTGGCCTCGTTCTCCGGCGCGATGTGCACCGCCGCCCCCATCTCGCCCGGGCTGCCCTTGTTCTCCTTGACGACCCTCGCCGGACGCCATAGCTGCAGCTGCGACTGCGGATACTGCCTCTTGTTGTTATGGTCCTGCTTCATCGCCAGCGGCTCCCTGATCTGGGCCTTCGGGTGCAGCTGTGGCGGCTCCTCGGACTGAAGCGCCTGCTGCTGCTGCTTGCTCTCCGAGCAGCCCCATCCGGACCCTCCGATGCAGTCCGAATAGAGCATGAGCACCATGACGTCGACCAAGAACCATACCAGCGACGTTAGCAGTATCACTTGACACGTGTGAATGCGAATCTTGGAGCGGAACATCTTTCAACGGCGGCAGTCGTCCGCTTGTGCCACGAGCTCATCACCCAGCTCGCCGTGCGTGGACTCGCGATAAGGATTTCTCTCGGCGAGACTTAAAACGAGACTACAACCGTGTTCTACTAATTGTACGGGCCTTCGTGGAATCACATGACGGAGGACGGCCGGTTCTCAGCGCTCTGCAACAGAAAGACGAGGCCGGTGGTTCATTGCGAATTCGATAGCGCGTGGAACTCCTATCGCTCGCATCGGGAATCCCCCCCGGGTTGATATTAAAAGCTTGCCCGGGAGATGCAACCAGAATTCTTTAGGCAGATCGATCGCCCGCGTTAGCTTTACGCACGCTTATCACGATTCTGCGAATCGCGCTTGGACATTTTCTTCTCACATCGCGTACGATCCGGCATCAAGATGGAACGAGCTGATACGGGCTTGCGAGAGACGAATGAAAAACTCGTTATAAAAATCGATCGCTTCTCTCGGCGATATTTATGAAAAAAAAAAAAACACAAATATATCCACCGACGTTTTTCCCGGCATAATAGTTTATGCATATTTTAACATTTCATATGTCTATGCATTTCGTATTTTACACGTCTATATATTTAATATTTTACATGCAGTATTTCGATATTCCATACATCTCTCGATGCAACCTTTATTAATGTGAAACTAATTTTAACGCCGTTATTAATAATGGCGCTCCTGCTGATCGTTTTATGCTACGCTGGCAGGAGGGGTTTTACGATTTTTATGCCCGCCGCATACGCTGCGGCGATTACAAGAATGGAAATACGAGGCGGTCTCGAAAAGTGCACGCGTCAGCTAGGGGGGGTAACCGGAGCACACTTTGCGACACCCAGTCACTTAGCACATGGCTAATTCGTACGAAGGTGCACGCATCGACCGCGCGGAGGAATATGCCACTTTCAAACGGGACGTTCCGTTTCGATCAGCTGCTCGAATGCGCGGGTCTCATGCTGGTCTCCCTACAAATAGAACCCGGCGAGAGACATAATGACACGCAACTCTCGCGCGTCTACGTCCGCATACGCGTCTGATTGTGAGGTGGATCAGATAAGGATTGGCGATGAACTCGTCAGCTATCGCGCGTGTATCGGTACGCCCTTATCGCATTGTGTCCCGCGTAAACCGCTATCCGCCCGTCACAATCGACCGGGGACGACCGTGGTCGTCCACTTAGGAAGCAAATAAAAAAAGAGAAAGAAAGGAAAAACGGAACGCAGTCGCGAGATTATCGGGAACGCTATACGTTGCGCGCGAGGCAAGCGTTTTAGTGTCGCGGCGAAGACACGCTGCTTTGCATATCTTTCGATGCAAAATCGCCTATTCGGGCTAATGACTTTCGTAAAATTCGCGATAATTTCAGGAAACGCGAAAGAAGAAAGGAGAAAAAGGAGCGCAGTCGCGAAACGACCGGGAATGGTAAACTTTGTGCGCGCGAGGCAAGCGTTTTAGCGTCGCGGCGAAGACACGCTGCTTCGCATATCGTTCGATGCAAAATCGCCTAATCGGGCCGATGTCTTTCGTAAAATTCGCGATAATTTCAGGGAACGCGAAAACAAACGTTGCTTTCGACGTCACGGAGCGTTACTCTCCTTTTGCGAAACGCGCGTGTCTCGCCTCTTACCTGCCGGTACCACCGGCGATACCACCGCGGTACCAGCGCGGTACCGCCGCGGTTGCAGTCGATACCGGCTGTCATAATCGCGACCAAAAAAGAAAAAAAAATAGCACGCGCGTAATGGCAAAAGTGTTTCGAAGACACGGCGGAAATACAGATCCGCGAGTAATTATCCCACGCAGCCAGCGAGGTCACCTGGCCTGGGAAATTATATTGCGATGAGACAGCCGTGCTCTCCTGATGGTACTAATTAATTAGCTGCTGCTAAATAATTCACTTTCATCACGATAACGAGCGGGAAATGGGAGTAATAATGTCGGATGACTATGCGCGACCCAGAGAACAACGGCGACATTCCCTGCCAGTTACATCGCACGAACTTTCTATTGAAAAAAAAAGGAGGAATATTTAACACACGCGCGCACATAATATACATGTGTGTGTGCAAGTGGCGGCTTCTCGTTAGTTGACCCCGTTTTGTATATAATAAATAATTCACGAAATGCCGATCCGAAAAATCCGAAAGAGGAGAAAATTTGAATTTTCGCGCGTTTTATAAAATTGCGCATTTCAGCATTGAAACGATCCAAATAAGTTGTGATGTAAGCAGCGAGATTGTATGGCTACAAAATTCACAATTACGTTTCGAACATATTCCACGAAGAGATTGTTTGACAATTATTTGCAAACGACAAGAGATTGGTAAAACAATTTAAACAGAAGTCTAACAATTAATTAGAAAAGATGACATTCAAATAAAAATACCTAAAGAAGCATTGGAAACAATTAATTAAAATAAAATATTAATTACTTAAAATACTTGGCAGCGGTATGAATTTCTACAATTACGCTGTAATTTTGTATATTATTTACCAACATGGGGCGCGTTCAGGGCACAATGCGGAGACTAAAAACTATTTGCAATACCTAGACAGAGTGTATTTGTCTAAGTCAAAATTTTGCAAGTATAAAGTAATTTTTCTAGCAAAAAACAAATTATGAAACGTAGAGATGACTCGAACATCGAGTATCTAAAACTTTCTTATTTTGCAGAGAGAAAACCGAATCGTGATAACATTGTACGGTTATAATAAGTAATGTTGTAATACCGAGTATAATGTATTCTTAATGTCTATCTCGACATCACTACTTTTCTTGCTGAAATCATCAGAAGTTTTATATTCCCAAGGAATGGCAAATCTCTGCGAAATGCTTTACGGCTAGCAATAATAGAGGCACAAAGTATTTCCGGTTCGCGAGCATCGCAAAATTGTACGGCAATTATTTTTTAGTCGCCTCTGTAATAGTCTCGTGGATAATGTTGGTGCTATTAACAACATTGCGTGCAGGTTACTGATAAATCGATACCACGGCACGTTAATATTGTCAAGACGGGACATTACTTCGTGACCATGTCATAGAAGTCTTGTGACGAAGTGATGAATTGCATGTCCGCGGTCGAAGTGCTAAGCTACTTCTATTGTTTCACCGTTGTATCGCGGAAACTGCGCTTCACGAAACAGATGTTTACTGATAAAGCGGGTTTTGTACACGAACTACCTCCGCTAGTGTTCGTTAATTTTTCCGATATTAAAGATAGAGCCTTTAAAAATATTTCATTGCTAGTTTCATAATTCCATTTGCGACTTCGATCGAATTTATTGTTAAAAGCGGACTCGACACTTGACACTTCGTGTATTCGACATTTCAAATCAATTCCTAGAAAAGTCATTATATTCGATTATTTAATTATTAATTATCTGACGATTTGCGAAATATCTGTTTGCCACATCTGATGCGATACTGATTTCGCTAATTAATTAGTAAATCTAGTTTGACTCCCTCCTTATAAAACATAATAATTATTTTACCTCTTGATGATTTATTTTCGGAGTTTCGAGAGAGATAAAATCATGCCTTTTCCCAGAGCATTTTAAAATTATAAGGTTCTAACTTTAACTTATTACATGTAATAAATTATTAAATAATAAATTAGACGATTAGAAGATGTAGGATTTCTATCAGCTATACTCTGGGGGGAAAAAAGGTGTTAGCAACCCATTTTGGGGCCGCCCACAATTAGTAATCGAATTATTTGGATTGCCAGAGCATTCTAAAATTATTAGGTTCTAACTTTAACTTATTACATGTAATAAATTAAATTAGACGATTAGAAGATGTAGGATCTCTATCAGCTATACTCTGGGGGAAAAAAAGAAGTTAGCAACCCATTTTGGGGCTCACAATTAGTAATCGAATTATTTGGATTATTCGTAGCATTCTAATCTTTTACGAATTTTACCCCGCGTAACTAAAAATCGCAATTAGCTATTCGATCTATATCCGAGATTTTAAAGCAATACTAATCTATTCTCTCAACCAGTTCTGTCGATATTCAGTAACGCAAAGATAATCTTCACTTTAGAGGCACTAACCGAAATGTTAAGTTGCTCAACTACAAAAAAAAAGGTCAAACTTTTTCCCAGAGTAGAGTGTTACGAACAATCCAAATAATTCGATTACTAATTGTGGGCCCCAAAATGGGTTGCTGTCTTTTTTCTTTCAGAGTATCTAAATTTTGAATTATATCTAAATCGTGAAATAAATTGACGAGGGTGAGTATTTCTAATCGCGTAACAATATTGCCAGAAATAAATGCCTCGATTCTTTTCATCTAAGTAATCAGGTTCGACTTCCATTGACCGTGCTTCATTGTAATCGAAGTGCTCGAAAGTCCGCCAATATCACATTGACGCAATGCGACGCCAGGTAATGTCATTAAGAAAGTCTTCTCGCACAATAGACAGCTATGAAAGCTAAGCCCCCTACCTTGTTATCCGTCACAAAAAGCCCTAAGACCAGCAATAATTCAGACTACGTAATAACTTCCTCGAAGCTCGAGCTCGAATACGGAAGTATATTAATTAAATCCCGAGCTATTTGCTTTCCGTGCGATGCCGGGCATTTTCTTGAGATGAATTTAGTTCCTAATATAAATAATATCGCAATATGAAGCATGATAACTGCCTGTGTAATAACTTTACATTCGTCCTACTCAGCAGATACGTAATTCATGTCTCAGTTTATAAAGTCACGGTGAACGTCCTCGTGTTTCGTTGTTATGCATATATAATTTGTATGCGCGCGGTTAATATCAAATGCAATAAAACTTGTAACGCTTATTACACGGTAAACCGAAGGGAAGCGGGCGAGCGAGCAAGCGAGCGAGAGCGAGAGCGAGTAAGCGCGCACGAGAGAGAGAGAGAGAGAGAGA